TCTAACCTCCTCTCTTCAAAATATTTTAAAAATTAGCTGGGTGTGGTGCTACACGCCAGTAGTCGTAGGTACTCGGGAGACTGAAGCAGATGCGTCACTTGAGTTTGAGGTGACAGTGAGCTGTTATCACGCCACTGCACTCCACCCTGGACAACAGAGCGAAACCCTGTCTCAATTAAAAGAAAAAGAACACTTAAAACTGGTCATGACTTTACTGCCTGGAATTCTCTTCATTTGCTAAGTAAGGACAGTCTGATGAGGGGAAAGTTTTCATGCCACAAGAGAGAAAACCCTTGATTTTCCAAGGAAATCTGTGCATGCGGAAACATTTTAATCCAGTTTGATAGGGTGAGAGGGAGCAGGCTTCATTTTAGGACAGATGCATTTTTGTCACCAGACTCCATTACAAAGTGTCAATGCTCTAGCCAAGACTCTTTGTAGCAAGGCATTATATTTTAATTTGCTGGCCTTTAAAGACTGGTGCATTTTGTTCTGGTGGGGGCATTTTTTATCGGTCTCAACTGTCAAGAATAATAAGTTATGTGCCAACAGATGGATATAAATGAAAGTAAGCTACAAGAGAAAGCTTTTTGTGGAATAGCTAGGCTTTTAACATTAGTCTGACTTGGGTTAGTGTCTCTGCTTTGTTGTTTATTGGGTGTGCAAACTTGGGCAAATTATTTAACATCTGTGAATCGCTGATGTAAAATGGTCTTGTGAGACTTTAATCAAGTCAAGTATGCATGAAGTGCTGTCCATTGTGTCTGCTTTTGTTTGTTATGGAAACATTTCATTTCTTTCAAAAGAATCTCTTTTTCTTGCTAAGCTTAAAGTGAAGACCTGTTGAAATTATTTCAGCATTTTACCCTTGGCCATTTTTCATAGGAAGGCTTCTCATAGTGTCTAACTCCTGAAAGCAGAAAGTGACCTTCAAAACTAACCCATCTTCTCTGGAATATCTCTGAGAGCTGAGGGATTAGGGTTCTTAGAGATTTGTATATCTTTGATGGCACTAAAATGACACATAGATTGCACATATACCTGGAAAAGATATTAAATGTTATAACCCTCAAAACCACAAGTGAAGCTTAAGGTCTAGAACATAGTAGCTGTGCATTTAGGAAACATTCTGCAAGAACCGTTGTCTCAGAAAAAAAAATCCAACTTGATATTAATTATATGCTCAGACCCATCCCTGCTGGATTATGTCAGCATTTATACTTGGTTTGCATTGTTTATACCCTTGTGTGACATCAGCAATCTGCAAGTCACATTTGCAGGGCTGCCGGTGCAGAGTGGCAGCTGCTGGGCCTAGAGGCTAGTGGAGGTACATGTGAAGAGATCATTCTTACTGAATGTGTCTGTTCTCTTCTGTGTACTTTCTGACCCTCCAGGGCAGCTGGACACAGTAGACCTGAATAAGCTAAATGAGATTGAAGGCACCCTGAACAAAGCCAAAGATGAAATGAAGGTCAGCGATCTTGATAGGAAAGTGTCTGACCTGGAGAATGAAGCCAAGAAGCAGGAAGCTGCCATCATGGACTATAACCGCGATATTGAGGAGATTATGAAGGACATTCGCAATCTGGAAGACATCAGGAAGACCTTACCATCTGGCTGCTTCAACACCCCATCCATTGAAAAGCCCTAGCGTCTCTAGGGCTGGAAGGCAGCATCCCTCTGACGGGGGCAGTTGTGAGGCCACAGAGTGCCTTGACACAAAGATTACATTTTTCAGACCCCTACTCCTCTGCTGCCCTCCACTACTGTCCTTTTGAACCAGGAAAAGTCACAAAGTTGAAAGAGAAGCAAATTAAACATCCTGAATCGGGAACAAAGGGTTTTATCTAATAAAGTCTCTCTTCTACTCACGTTGCTACCTTACCCACACTTTCCCTTCTGATTTGCATGAGGACGTGGCATCCTACGTTACTGTACGGTGGCATAAGCACATCATGTGAGTCCATGTATGCCAGGGCAGAGCAAGTAGCCCTCCCCTGTCTCATCGATACCAGGAGAACCTCCTGTCTCAGTACTCTTGTTTCTATGAAGGAAAAGTTTGGCTACTAATAGTAGCATTGTGATGGCCAGTATATCCAGTCCATGGATAAAGAAAATGCATCTGCATCTCCTGCCCCTCTTCTTCTAAGCAAAAGGAAATAAACATCCTGTGCCAAAGGTATTGGTCATTTAGAATGTCAGTAGCCATCCATCAGTGCTTTTAGCTATTTTGAGTATAGGACACTGAGCCATCCATGGGTCAGGATGCAATTATTTATAAAAGTCTGCAAGTGAAAATGGCTGAAGAAGATTTTTCTAGTATATTACTAATTGACTAGGAAGATAAACTTTTTTCAGATCTTTTGGGCAGCTGATAATTTAAATCTGGATGGGCAGCTTGCACTCACCAACAGACCAATAGACATCTTTTGATAAATGGAACTTAGAAGAAATAGGGATATGATAACCACTAAAGTTTTATTTTCAAAATCAAATTACAGCTTTTTTATGAGGTTAGTCTTGGAATTAGTGTTAAGTATTTGGCAGAGAACAGTTAATCCCTAAGGTCTTGACAAAACAAAAGAAAAACAAGCCTCCTTACCCTAGTCTTTTCTAGCAAAGGGATAAAACTTAAATGGCAGCTTGTACTGTCAGAATTCCATGTAGCCATTTGTTCTTCTGTTGGAGAGAGATGAGACATTTGACCCTTAGCTCCAGTTTTCTTCTGATGTTTCCATCTTCCTGAATCCCTCAAAAAACATTGTTTGCCAAATCCTGGTGGCAAATACTTGCCCTCAGTATTTCACACAGCTGCCAACGCTATCGAGTTCCTGCACTTTGTGATTTAAATCCACTCTAAACCTTCCCTCTAAGTGTAGAGGGAAGACCCTTACGTGGAGTTTCCTAGTGGGCTTCTCGACTTTTGATCCTCAGCTCTGTGGTTTTATTTTAAGACCACAGTGTGACAGTTCCCTGCCACACACACCCTTCCTCCTGCCAACCCACCTTTGGGATTCATATATAGCCTTTAACACTATGCAACTTTGTACTTTGCGTAGCAGGGGCGGGGTGGGGGGAAAGAAACTATTATCTGACACACTGGTGCTATTAATTATTTCAAATTTATATTTTTGTGTGAATGTTTTTTGTTTTATCATGATTATAGAATAAGGAATTTATGTAAATATACTTGGTCCTATTTCTAGAATGGCACTGTCTGTTCACTTCACTCAATTTTTCCTCTTCACTGGCACAATGTATCTGAATACCTCCTTCCCTTCCATCTAGAATTCTTTGGATTGTACTTGTTCCCCACTTTGCTCTCTGCCTTGTGTTTGCAGTATCTCCATTCTCTAAAATTAAGATAATTGCTTTACTCCACGCCCAGCCACTGTAAAGAGGGTAACTTGGGTCCTCTTCCATTGTAGTCCTGATGATCCTAACCTGCAGCATGATGGTTTTACAACGTGCCAGAGCAGGGACACCAGGTTGACAAGCTATGGTAAGATTAGAAAAGTTTGCTGAAGAGGATCTTTGACACCATAGTGGGACTAGCCAGGAATGAGGGAGAAATGTCCTTTCTGGCAATTGCTGGAGCTGGATGGTTCAATTGTATAAGGGAGTGTATTTTGACTGAGCACTTTCAGGGCATCAGGAACAGTGCTACTGATGGGTAGACTGGGAGAGGTGGTATAACTTAGTTCTTGATGATCCCACTTCCTGTTTCCATCTGCTTGGGATATACCAGAGTTTACCACAAGTGTTTTGACATGCATACTCCAGAGCTTTCACTCTGCTGCTTCTCCCAGGCCTCTTCTACTGTGGTAGGAGATGTGGCGCCCTCTTGCCAAGTTTTCACATCGTTTCGTGGCTAGCTCCTTTCGCTGAGTGGCTATATCCTAACATATGCATTTGGTCAAGGTTGCAGAAAAAGACTGAAGATTGACTGCCAAGCGAGTTTGGAGAAGTTCACTCCAGCAAGTCTCAGGCAACAATGGGGTGGTTTGGTTTGGTTTCCTTTTTAACTTTTTTTTATTTGCTTTTCTCCTCCACCTGTGTGGTGTATTTTTTTAAACAGAATTTTATTTTTAAAATAAAAGGTTCATTACAAGATGATACCTTAAATACACTCCTGCAATACAGCCATTATTTTATTGTCTAGCTCCAGTTATCTGTATTTTATGTAACGTCATTGACAGGATGGCTGCTGCAGAATGCTGGGTGACACAGGGATTATTATACTGCTATTTTTCCCTTTGAATTCCAACTGTGGACCTTTTATATGTGCCTTCACTTTAGCTGTTTGCCTTAATCTCTACAGCCTTGCTCTCCAGGGTGGTTAATAAAATGCAACACTTGGCATTTTTTATGTTTTAAGAAAACAGTATTTTATTTATAATAAAATCTGAATATTTGTAACCCTTAATATTTGGTGTGGCCTGAGTGTGATACTGGGGATGTAAGATGTTTTAAAAGGTATAATGAATGAAAAGCCATACATAATGTCTTCTTTGGGTACTTATTTTCTCAAGAACAATTCAGTATACATACAGTAGATATATATACTTGCCTACTTTTTTGCCTATTTGCCTCTCTCAAATTAGCATACTTAGTGTAGTCTGGAAGTTGGTGAACTTTTCCAGTAAAGAGCTAGATAGTAAATGTTTTAGGTTTTGCAGGCCGTATGCCTATGGGCTGTAGTTACTAGAATCCTGGGGGAGCCTCACTACTCAGTAACAACTGACAGCCAGGCACAGTGCCTCACACCTGTAATCCCAGCACTTTAGGAGGCCAAGTTGGGCAGATTACTTAAGGTTAGGAATTTGAGACCAGCCTGACCAACATGGTAAAACCCTGTTTCTACTAAAAATACAAAAATTAGCTGAGCATGGTGGCACGTGCCTGTAATCCCAGTTACTTGGGAGGCTGAGGCAGAAGAATAGCTTGAACCCTCCACCAAGAGGTAGAGGTTGCAGTGAGATGAGATCATGCCACTGCACTCCAGCTGTGGCAACAGAGCAAGAGTCTGTCTCAAAAAAAAAAAAAAAAAAGCAAACTATTTTTAGATTTGTTGGACTTCCTAAATCAGCAAATGTTGTAATAAAAATTAAGTAATGTGCTGCACTAGCAGGCTGGAATCGGGTAATTTTACCCCACTCTTTCTGGAAGATGGACCCATCTGAAGTGACCTGAGACCAGGTGAGGACTTTGGGAGCTACAGAGAACAGCAGGAAGCTTTGGGCCTGCAAAGCCTTCTCTTTACTCTTTGATACTCTATTTATCGCCCTGGGTCCCCGTGGATTCCATGCCACCTTCCTAATCTTAGGAATTGTTGTAACAATGATACCTGTAAAGAAAAACCTGAACTCCTCTCATTAGACTTCCTCTGAGAAAGCTTTAGAGGGCATTAATTACTAGTACTATTATAGCTTCTTACATGCCCTGTTTTTAACTTTAATTGAGGACTGTTTCCTATCATTTGTAGGATCGAATTCAGATGCAGCTGTATCTCCTTTATTATTACTGTCAGAGTGATGAGTGAGATTTTAAAATTTTGCTCTTATTCCATCAGTCATCTTCAGGACAGCAGTTTCTCAAAAGTTGCTACTAGCAAAATCTGATTCAGAATAAACCCAGAGGTTTACTCCATAAATAAATAAACGTCCTAGCCCCTTAATACACCTGAACTCATCAGCTCCACTTCCATTAAGCTCAACATGGAATGCCGGAAGAAGACCCCAGGAACCCAGCAATGTGAGGTGGTGGGAAAGCAGGCGGATACCTTCATAAGGTAAGGAAGGACAGGCCCGAGGAAAGACCAGATCTCTCCAGGCCTGTAGATTATAGAAACAGAAACAAGGGTGTTACAAATAGCAGGTAATTTTACCTGTTTAAATGTAAACCTGCTTAGTGTAGAGTAAAAAATAAGCTTTTTAAGTTTTCTGTTCAAGGCTCCACTGGTTCTAGGGAACTATGATAACTATAGTGCTTGTATTTGTATTGAGTCTCCTAAAATGATTATATTTGTTCTACACTCGTGAATGAATTCTAAATAATAGAAATCAAACGCATACACAAGAAACAATCATTTTTCTTTAAATCCATTGAAAAGCAAAAAGCCTCTGACTAGGAATTCAAATATTAGAAACGTCAACATTTGAAAAATTACCACACCTCCATGTCCTTAACTCCTCTCTCGGCCTTGAATGTCCTTTCTTTCCTCTACCCAGTACAGGAAAGCCTAATGTCAAGGTGTCACCTCTTGTGTTGGAATTGCGCAGTCCTTGTGTCCACCACTTCCAGCTTTGCTCTGTCTTCTAGAATGGCCCGTGGACTCTATAGTTCAGGCGTCTCATCTTTCCCTCCCACTTTGTTCCCACCCCCAAAGATCAGGGTCTGTGTTATTTGTGTTATCCTCAGGGCTAGGATACATACAGTAGGTACTCAGGTTGTATGATAGTGAGAAGGTAGCCTTCTCCACCTGCACTCCCACACCTGTTACTTTTTATCTGCTGTGCCCAGAGAGGGAGTCTTATGGCAGTTTGTTAATGCACTCTCTCAGCTCCCAACAGCGTTCTGCTTTCTCAGCATCCCCACCTAAGCACAGGTTGGCCTCTTGTTTGCAGGAAGATAAGCAAAGCCACAGTCTTACATTATATGGCACAGCACACACCACATACACTGCCATGTGGTCAGCAACCAGCTAGTGCAATCTGGTCTGCAGGGCCCACTGCCCTGGCTCCCAGCCTCAGACTCACCAAAGCAGGTTTTCCACACAGCAGGTTTTCCCACACAGCTCCTGCAGCCCAGCATTAATTTCCTTGTTCTCTAATTCCTGGAAATGGTCCCAGTAAAGTTCAATCAACCAATTAATTTGGTATTTTATCCTGTTTGCATGTGTACTTTAGCAGGCCTTGTAATTAATATTGGCCATAAAGTGTATTATTTATGATTAACTCAGTATAGTTTATTTCTATAAAAAGTCAAGCATTAGGCCCTTGATCAAGAATGTGACCTTCTATTACACTGTTGTTCCCATAAGTCAGTCCAACTCAATTTAAGTGATTCTCCATGAAACATGCCTGGTTTGAGGCAACCCTTCCATCTTCGCATAATTCTTTCCACCTTGGCTACTAACAAAAGAAATCACCTGAACTTCAGACCGATGCTTTTCAGGTCCATCCCATGGTATCTGTCCTAATACAGAGATCCTTTGTCATTTCAGTAACTAAATGCAACCATCAAATTTTTTTCCATGTTAATTTTGTTTATGTTAAGAATTCCTAATGCACTTCCTTTCTGAATATTCAGTGTCTGTCTTCTAGGATATTGTATCCTAATTTTCCCTACACTTTTCTGTTGATCCCAGCCACTTTTTCCACGGACATTTCTTTCCTTCCTGACCATAGTCTCTGTATTGGGGTTAGTGCAGAGTAAGCACAAATCAGCCATGAGCAGAAGTGTCTGGGAGACGTGCTGTCCTAGGGTGGATTATAAGTTTCTGGGTTGCTGAGCCAGCATCCAAAATAAAGGCTCAGGAGGCACAGCTATGATTTCAATGATTATATGTTCAGCGTGGTCAGAGGGGTTTGTGTTACAACTTGCTGATCCTTCATGGCTCAGACAGTCTGCCCTCACAGCTGTCTCAGTTGGGCTGATACAGGAGATCAGATCTGGCCAGGGAGAGTTTTGCCTCGTAAATTTCAGATAGGCTGTTCTCTAAGTTTCTGAAGGAGTTAAGAAGGACTGGCATTATCAAGATAGCGTGTACGTTTTAAGGCACCTTCATAATTATTTTCTTTCATTTGTCCCTCCTTTGAAGAGTCTTTTTTGGCCGAGGGGGAAGTTCAAGGCATTGTTTGCTGTTCCACCACCCTTACCACTCTTAGCATATTGCCTTATTCTCTCTCATGATTTGGATCCATTTTCCTTTTATGAAGGAAATATACTTGTATTTTATTATAAGCTGCCTCAAATCTCTCTTTTGGAGAGAGCAAGGTAGATTTAAATATATTGGCAACCTTCCCAGTACTAAGGAACCACTTAATTATTGCACAGAATTATTCCGTGGAACCTGATTGTCCTCAAGCAGCCTTGGCCACACACACCATACAGCTCACACCCCTCTCTTGCTCATACACCACACAGCTCACATCCCTCTCCTGCTCACACTGCACAGCTCACACCCCTCTCCTGCTCACACACTACACAGCTCACATCCCTCTCCTGCTCACACCACACAGCTCACACCCCTCTCCTGCTCACACTGCACAGCTCACACCCCTCTCTTGCTCATACACCACACAGCTCACACCCCTCTCCTGCTCACACACTACACAGCTCACACCCCTCTCCTGCTCACACACCACACAGCTCACACCCCTCTCCTGCTCACACTGCACAGCTCACACCCCTCTCCTGCTCACACACCACACAGCTCACATCCCTCTCCTGCTCACACTGCACAGCTCACACCCCTCTCCTGCTCACACTGCACAGCTCACACCCCTCTCCCGCTCACACTGCACAGCTCACATACCTCTCCTCACACACCACACAGCTCACACCCCTCTCCTGCTCACACACCACACAGCTCACACCCCTCTCCTCACACACCACACAGCTCACACCCCTCTCCCGCTCACACCACACAGCTCACACCCCTCTCCCTCTCACACCACACAGCTCACACACCTCTCCTCACACACCACACAGCTTACACCCCTCACACCACACAGCTCACACCCCTCTCCCGCTCACACCACACAGCTCACACACCTCTCCTCACACACCACACAGCTCACACACCTCTCCTCACACACCACACAGCTCACACCCCTCTCCTCACACACCACACAGCTCACACCCCTCTCCTCCTGCCCTTGTTTCTCCCTCCCTTTCCCTTTCCCTTCTTAGGCTCAAGGATGAGGCACATAAGCCTAGTTCACCTGGATAATTTTGCTTAATGAGGGAATTCACCTAAATTTTAACGCTCTTTGGAATATTTTTATACCATTTTCATTTCCCTATTTTTTTTTTTTTGCTTTTTAATAACTTTAGTCAGTTTGTGTAATTTTCTTCTTTTATAAGTCCCATTGTCAAAGCATTTTATAAATGATGAGATTGTTTTGTATTTTTACAGAAGATTGTTTTTCTTTTCTACTTTTTAAAACTTTTATTTTGAAATAATTTTAGATTTGCAGAAGATTTACAAAGGTAGTACAGAGCATTCCCATATACCCTTCACCCAGCCTCCCCCAATACCAGCATCTTACATAACTATGGTACATTTATTAAAACTAAGAAATTAACATTGGTACAGTACTGCTAATTAAAGTACAAATTTTTGCCTACTTTTAAACATCTTTTTTTTCTAAGGCCCCACTTTTAAAGTAATACTAGGTTTTAAAACAAAATTGGAATATTTGACATTAATACCCAAGTTATGGGGCAACAGGAATTTGAAGTCCAAAATAATAGATTTTACTTTTATGTTATGCTCAAGACTTCCCAATGTATAATATATTCATAGTTAATTGCAAATAATGACATTAAACAACTTAATAAAATACCCTAAAAGTTTTAGAAAGATATTAAAGTATCCATCTGAATAAACATGGCATTCATAATATGCCAAACATTCTATATTTATTAGATATAGATTATTATTTGATATTAGATTATAATTTATTAGATATATATCCTATATTTATTAGATATAGGAAATTTACTTAGATTTGTTTTTAATTTTTTTAAGACATAATTTCAGACTTATAGAAAAATTGCAAGAGTAGTTCAAAAAATTCCCATACTTTTTTTTTTACCCAGATTCCTCCAGTGTTAATATTTTACTACAATTGCTTTGTACTTTTCTCTCTGTGGCTCTCACAAATAGGAAGGAGAGAAAACGGTTATAAGTTGCAGAAGTGGTGCCCCTTTACCCATACATAATTCAATATGTATTCCCTAAAGGACAGAGAACTTTCTTAGATAACTATAGTATAATTGTTAAAATCAAGAAATTAACATTGATACAATATTTTTAATATAATCTATAGCCATTATTCAGATTTTACTATATGTGGTAGACAGAATAATGGCCTGCCCCACAAAGGTGTTCAATTCTCAGTTCCTAGAATTTGTGAGTGCATTAGATTATTGATATAATTAAATTGTAAATCAGCTGACCTTAAAATAGATTATGTTGGACTATCTGGGTGGGCCCAATGTAATCAAAAGGCTCTTCTAATAAGAAGAGGAAGACAGAAAAGGAGATCAGAGTGATACAATTTAAGAAGGACTCCGCCCACCATTGCTGTTTGAAGGAGGAGGAAGAGGGCATGGGATGTGGGCAGCCTTTAGAAGCTGGGAAAGGAAAGGGAATGGGTCTCCCAAAGCCTCCAGAAAGAATGCAGCTCTGCTGGCACCACGATTTTAGCACAGAGACCCCCATCTGACTTTTAACCCATAGAACCATACACTAATAAATTTGTGTTCTTTTTTGTTTTTTGAGATAGAGTTTTGCTCTTGTTGCCCAGGCTGGAGTGCAATGGCGCAACCTTGGCTCACTGAAACCTCCACCTCCTGGGTTCAAGTGATTCTCCTGCCTCAGCCTCCTGAGTAGCTGGGATTACAGGCACATGCCACCATGCCTGGCTAATTTTTGTATTTTTAGCAGAGACGGAGTTTCCTCATATTGACCAGGCTAGTCTTGAACTCCTGATCTCTGGTGATCCACCCTCCTCGGCCTCCCAAAGTGCTGGGATTACAGGTGTGAGCCACCACACCCTG